TTCCGAGAACGCGAATGCGAACGGCGCCCCTGCTGATCAGCATCCTGTCGCCGAGCGCTCCTTTTGTTTCTGCTTAGGCCCTCTACTGCAAACGGCGATATGATAACACCTGGCCCTTCCACACCAGTCGCGGCGTAGCGGGAGGATTTGAAGGAATAGAGCGACGAAACCGCCACCCCTCCTCCTCTCCCGTGCAGTGCTCACGCGCGCAGCAGGGCTGCCGCTCGTGTCGCCGACCGCGGTACTGCCGTTCGAGGAGTGCTCGGGAGCACTTTGAGCTTGGGAGTCGACTGGAAGTCGTCGGTGCGAAGGGTGATACTGACGTTCCGAGAGGTGCGGACGGTGGTGCGATGCTCGACGCAGGCCTGCGTGGAGAGTTGAGCGGCTTCCCATCTGCCCCTTGTGTATACCTTACACAGCCACACTAGCTGGAGGATGTACCAGAAATAGTAACCACAGTAGGAAAAAATTGCAAGGTGTTTTCACGAACTTGTGCGAGTCCTGCGGGACTTTGAATTCCATCTTTCCAGGTGCAACTGATTCGGTGTCGTTGATCGCCAACCAAAATTTGGGGGAGCGGGCCAGCTCGGCCCGCAATCGACGCTTGTTTTCGACTCCCATGAGCCAGTAAGTTTTCCTAGTAATCTTCTGCGCAAAATTCTCACTGTCTGGACAGAAATGCGTGCCATTTCCTCTGCTCTGAACACTGTGCTACTGCGCAGAGATTCGAGCTGAATCCTCAAAGTCCATATCCCGAATTGCTTCTCAGCAACGCGATCCCCTCCGATTTCCAAGCCCAAGAGATTAAGAAGACTACTGGAATTGTAGAGGCGGATATCGCTGGTTTGAACAGCGAAATAGCGCGTCTCCAACGCTCGATGGACGCGCTGATCGCGCAGCGCACAGAGCTCGAGCGATTTGCGCATGACCATCGTGGCGTAGTTTCTATCGTACGCTGCCTTCCAGACGACATCCTGGTCGAGATATTTGAGCACTGTCTCAGTGGCGGGTGGACCTTTTCTGCCTTGAAACCCATGCTTCTGGTTTCCCGTCAATGGCATTCCGTCGCATCGACTTCGCCACATCTGTGGCGCCACTTTGTCGTGACGGAGAGTGCAACGTGGCCCCACTTTGTCATGACAGAGCGTGCAACGCAGGGTCTACTCAAGTGTCTTTCTTTTCAACTTGAGCTCTCCGCAAAAGCACCACTTTCCATCACTTTGGATACCTCCACCGGCCGCGGCGTGCAAATCTTACAGCTGTTCCTGGACGCGTCTCCGCGGTGGGAGGAAGCCAACCTCAACCTCACTCCTGCGTACTTCAGGCACCTTTTTGCATCGAATTGTGCATTCCCGGCCTTGAAGAGACTCACTATCAATATGTTAGAGCCGCCGGAATGGCCCGCCGCCGACATCATCCGTTCTTTCGAGCCTGCTCCAGCATTCGAGTCCGTTCCAGCATTGAGGGAGCTCTTGCTGTGGATGACAGTTGGACAACGGATTGATCTTCACATGTTCCCGTGGTCCCGACTCCGTAGATGCGAGCTGGCGGGGTGCCACATCGAGGATCTACTTCAGATTCTCCCGCTACTCTCAGCCGACACCAGGGTTTTTCCCATTGACGAGGCACCCCGTTTCACTTCTAGTGTGCAATCTCCCATCAGTGCGCTTGAGGTCGGCCGTTGTACGGCGAGGTTTGTAGAAGACCTGCTCAACACTCTCACCACACCATCCCTCAAGGAACTCAGCATCAGCACCAACCTGCATTGGAGCCCCAATTTCAATATTTTCGATGCTCATCTTCCCACCGCCGAGTCCATCATCATTATGTTTTTAAGTCGCTCCGCATGCGCACTCACCTCCCTTTGCCTCTATGTTACCATATCCGACCACGATCTCCTTACCATCCTTGAGTCACCGCACGTTTACGGCCTCGTACGTCTCGCCATCAGCTCGGAGAGCTCAACGCTTTCGGCGGAGATGGTCGATGCGCTAACAACACGCAGTCTTGTTCCCCACCTCCAATCTCTGGACATAAACCTCCCGTCCCGCGGCGGCGGGCTCACCGAAGCTACTGTCCTAGCAATGCTTGAACGTCGGCATCCTGTGCTTCACACGCTGCGAATCACGCAGGAGAAGGTGGACCCCTTACTGTCGCAGGCTGCCATCGAAGCGCTCGGAGCAAAGGGGATGGAGATAATGTTACGCGGGTGCTATTGACTGATGTTTTCCTCGGAGAAGCGCATGTAGGCAAATGCTTGAGTTCGAACGTTTATCAGGTCCGTTGTAGTTATCTTGAGCCGCCTGCTAAAGCAGATATATGTATATATGTAGTCTTCATCCTTTTTCTGCCACCGAGTGTTGTCATCATAAAACATCCATGCATGATTGGGGAGGGGAAGTCTTGTGGGTAACTAAGATATCTGACAATTGATTTGACCGACATCTGATGGTGAACGACTTTGGGGTGTGAAGTTTAAATTTCTGCCGGAGGGAATTTGAATGTCAATGTGAGGGCGGCGGGAAGCGAGCAATAAGCGGTGGAGTTTCCTCCCTGTGTCTGTCACGTACTCTTCGAGATCTGTAGAAAACCTGCCTGGATGAGAGTCCCCGTCATGTCGAGGCTTTGAGGAGAGAAAATTCTTTTAAAGTTAGCCCCGAGTTGCCCAGATTTATTCCCACGGTTCATATCAAGTTCAGTCTTCATCGCAAGGCTAGTTGGTACAGGCTTCACCGTAAGCATCAGATATAGCACATGATGTGTCCCTGTTTTATTTGGGAAGCATTTAACTAGGCAGGAGGGTGATGTGTTTTTATTTTTCGCACTTTGCCTCAGACTCTCAGGTTTTTGCACTCATCGAGCTCGTTCTCACCCGGGGTTATTGTGTCCGAATAAGAGGGTAATTAAGAAAAGCAAAATTCAACCACCCGGGCCTCTGATTTCATTTTCCGCCTCTTTGTCATGATCACAGTCGGATCATGACTCGGCGCGCCCGGATCACGACGACCAACAATGGCAGCAAACAGCACAAAGTTCTGGAGTTGAGAATACCGGAATACCGGGAGGCTGTGCGCACCGGCGGCAACACGGCAGACCAAAGCGGACTTTGAATCACATTTGTTTGTAGCTGGATCAATATTAAACAACGCGCCCCCTGTCTTCCCACACGACGACACGACGAGACTCTCAGACCAACGAACTCGAAGTCAGACCCATCACCGCCGTCCCCGCCACGCGCGAGGAACCACCCTCGAGACCGACGTCGGTGTCGCTAGCATCACCAGCGGTGCCAGCGCCTCCACCACCCCCTCTGCCTTGTCCCTCTGCTCCCGGGCCCTTTCATCTGCGTCAAAACCGTCAACCCCATCAATGCCCCCCCCCCCGAATGGCCTGGCGGGCTCCACACCGTCGACATTGTCAACGGCTTCCTGGCTTATGGCGCTTCTTCCGTCAGTGGAAACTTGGTGGAAACAGTTCCAGGTTGGACGAGTATGATATCACACTTGAGGACTGAGAGGAGTTGCGTAAAGAAAGGCCTGGGGAGCAGCAGACGCGTCGTCGTACATGTTCACAACATGTTCACGAGACAAAAGCTTGTTTATACTTTGTTTATTTCAGCGGATGTCAAGCGGATGTAGCCCTTCGGATCACTTATATTAAAGGCCCGCCCCATCAAAGGGGCTGTGAACCACCCCGATCGAGGCCGCCGGTGTACACCGGGGCGCCGGTAATCTCAACTCCGGAATGCACTCGCAAACAGCGATCAAAAGCATTTCAAAACCCGATTAATTGGCAGTTATTTAAATACAGGAGAAGATACCAATCGAGCTCTCCTCTGTGACTGATTAATCACGTGAATCAACCCTAAACACTAATTAGTCCAGGTACAGTACATTCAATCACCAAGTGCTTATTTTCATATATAAACAGTAGTAGAATCTAGTGTACAATTTAGTGTACAGTAGATTCTACCTCGTCTAATCTCAAGCGCTACTTTGGCTTGATACTGGGCTTGCACTCTAGCTTTAGAGCCACCCAACTCTCATTCCCTTTGGGGTCTAATTATATCCACACCCCAACATATTGCAAACACCTTTCTTATATCTCGGGGTTTCCCGCTACCCATGCCCTGCTATCTTGCCTCACATCTCGGGGTCTCGCTATATTAACATGTCACACATGGGCTACAACTGTTGATCGCTCACACCGGGGTTCAAGCACTCAATGGCACATTGTGTGCACCTGCTTTACTTGTAGCATCTTTTCAATCACGCAGGAGTGGAAACCTGTCGGCCGGACAGGAAACACTTGAGAAGAATCAGACAATGAGTCCAACAAGACCACGCTATGTATTCCAAGTGAGCAACACGAGTGGGGTATGACGACGACAAAGAGGCAAAAGACAAGGTACAACTAGCTGATGTAAAGGTCTGGTCAGTCCAGGTAAGCTGGCAGGCTTACAAGGAGGCTCCGGTTCGACTCCAGGTCGGTGGATAATGCAGATAGGCAAAGTTGAATTATTATTATTTTTCGCATTTTCCTCAAGCGCTCAGGGTTTTGCCCTCATCCCGAGATCACTTTGTTCGATTCAGGGTGCAATTAGCGGAGAGGAAAGGAATCAAAGCTCGAATACTATGCCCCTAGGATGGATGTTCATTTTTTAGCCAACTAGGCTCAGAGTCTTCCTCTTGGGTTCCAGTCAGCTGATTTACGAGTGGGGTGTATAAGCTTGATGGCCCAATGGTGTGCGCCTGTTCATTTAGCATGTCCCACGAGTGGTGAGAAGGACATTCAATTCTGGGTCGGGCAACAATGTATGTTCATTGGTCTCTTTTTCTTTTTTTCCCTCAGCTGTTATTTTAATGCTCACCCACTTCATGTATGCCTGCTGTTGGCAACAGGATGGAATTAAAGCTCGCAGAGGAGTCAAGAGATCAAACCAATTGAACTTCAAGAAAATTGGGTTCATAAATGGGCAAGCTTGGGAACCGAGAGTCATACACCTGATAGCACATGGTGTGTGTGTGCACCTGTGAAATGTGTGTGCTTTCAACATCTTTAACTAGAAGGCTCCGGTTCAAACCCGGGTTGGGTGGTGGAATAGCAAGCCAAAAGAAAGTTTTTTTTTTCTCTGGCTTTCCCTCTGGCTTGGATTTTCGGTCGATTTTGCGCTCAACAGTATGGCGGTCATATATGGTGGTCACATTGCACATTTATTATTCTAGCCTTTTTTTTGCCCACTTTCCGTACTTTTTGTTGTGTTTTTGTACCTGTTAAAGTTTTTTTTTGCAGATGACCAACAATATTCTTGTTTCCAGCGAAGGACTAACCCTGTAACCGGGTTAATGCATGTTTCACAATCCAGAATTGATAGGATCTATGATCATCATACCTGTTTCGACACCTGTAGAGGATGGTAATTTGACCAGACAGCATTGAAGTCTGACCACAGCCTCATCACAATGCAACTGGTTTATAAAGCAGATAAAAAACCTGGGAAGGGCCGCTTCAGTCTCCCATTATACTTGCTGAAAACGCAGAAGTCCACTCAAGAAATTCATCGCCTCACAAGGAAATTGAAAGCTGACAGTAAAGACCTAAGCTGTGTTGCACGAACAGATGAGCAGAATATTCAAACCTTATGGGCTGATTTCAAACACAACACAATTGAACACACCAAGAAGTGTTCGCACCTGGTTGAGACAGAAGAGATCAGAAAAATACAAACCTGGAAGGCTCAACTGACCTCGCAATTCGAGCACCGGAACACTGGAGACGCTCAGAATGAATTGTACTGTCAGAACTCATGCAAAGACACCATCCAACACATTCCTTGCTCATCCTACGTTCTCCGACTTCTTACTTATCCTATACTTTGAAACACAAAGAGCACTGCCACCACGTGAAATCGTGTGATATAAGTCACATGCTTTCTCCCACGAGATGCCCGAGCGTTAGTGAGGACCAAAAACAGGCGAGCTCGGAATTTACCGTGTCTTTGTGAGCTCTGGATCCACTGGGGCTTGCCCCAACAAGCTGTGGACCCTGCCGGAGGAGCGGCCGCGAGCGGAGCGAGTGGCCATGCCAGAGGCAAAGGTCCTAAAGCTTGTTGTTCTTCATCTTTCCACTAGTCACCTGACTTCTCCCTCCCCTTTTGGACTTACCTTTATTGTTATGTCCACATGGTTTCTTATCTCCTTTACATATTACAATAAAAACCTTTAGGCCCTGTTCAGGATCCCCAAATCCTAATTTTGGTCTGGCTATCTAAGGGTGTCACATCAGGTCACCATACGATTGACAGCACGGAACATCTAGGAAGATCGCTATCGGATATCCGGTTGATCAATCTGAAGGACCGAACCTGCGCTCATCGCTGGCGCATCCCGCCGTTCACGATGAGGAGCCTGAGATGCCGATCAGATCGGTTTTGGAGGGCGGGCTTGCTGTTAGTATGTAGATACGAATTTAATATGATTTTACATGTATTCCTTGTGAGCCTCAGAACCAGGAAATGTTGGGCGCGGGCGGCGGGAACAAGGCGGGACTGTGCTGGACGATGACTACGAAGGATTTATCCGATGTCGATGCCTCCACATAGCCGAAAAAAGAACGGCCGAGACCAGAGTGACTGATGCCAACTTTGATAAAAAGTCCAAATACTTAAATTTTCCGTTTGGCTGGTAAAATTAGTAAATGGGATTTTAATTTGGGATCCCGAACAGGGCCTTAGTATTTAATCACTTAGATTACATCCTTTACATCAGTTTTGTGATAAACATTGCTTCACCTTGTTCCTTGTGAAGTAATCTGGCTGTTCGGTCTTGTCAGCAATGACCCTAGGTTGGCCTGATGTTGGCTTTCAACGAGAGCCTGACTAGGACTTCAAACCCCTGGCGTGAGTGATCAACAGTCGCTGCTGGAATGCAACATTGAAACGGTGCACTTAGGTACAGCCGTGAAATTGATAGACCGGCGGTCGGACCAGCGCAGCGAGCTATAAACTCAACCAACACCAACCACAAACCAACCAAATCTAACTAATCTCACAAACTCCAATAACCAAAGCTAATCGTGTGTGTGAGTTCGGGGTAGTGGGACAGGTGTATCGTCCCTCAAGAGTGTTGCTTTCAAGTGTTATCAACAAGCTGAGCACTGACTAAATTGTGTAGAGAGCAAGTTCAATTGGGTTTGGATTCAATATCTTTATCTGAACAGCCCCGCAGAATTGTATAGTTTAGAGTACTTGACTTGAGCACAGAATGCAGAGCTTGTGTACTAACAATGCTACGGTGTCCACTCTTGCCACAGAGCAGTCTACCGGAAACCAAAAGGTCAAGCTTTCCTTTATTTCCTCAAACAGAACTATTGACAGAGCAAAGCTCGATGTTGGCGGCTGAGAGCAAAGCTCAATCAGTGGCTAGAACTGTAGAACAGCCGCTTTCCACAGGCGGTAGGACTGGCTTAATCCTCCACACTTACAATGTTCTCAAAGGGCGTGGTTCACAGAACGCACTAACTCGCCAATCTAATTGCTTTCCAACAAGTCTGATTTGTCTCTTATCTTTTCTCTGAGATACTAACGGCGGGGGCTGGATTCACTGGGGTACACTGGTGTAACTCTACTGTATTTATACAAACTAAGGGAGCAAGATGGACTGAGTTGGAAAGTCGTGATATGTTGTGATTGATGCTACGGTAGGTAAGCCAATGATATCGCTGGCATTGCCTCTACCGTGGGCTTGTGGTTACCAGAGGTATCTTATCTTTTCTAGTTTGATTGGTGAAGCTACTGTAGGTCGCCCTATGGTAGGAGTCTCTGTAGAGTAGTAGGGTTCAAGTTAATATCCTACTCTCTGAAGGTCGCTCCTCCTACCGTAGACCTTTCTATGCCTACGTTAGGTCCCTCAGTACTCGTATCTCATCTCGGACAGCTCCCGTAACCTTGGCATCACATGTCCATGTGATTTGACCTATCACAAGGAACTTTACTGGAAGTGCAAGTTCCTATCAGGCTGCTGTAGGCGGCCGTGCTTACCGTAGGTCCCAGGGCTACTGTAGGTCAATGTGCCATTGGCAGTCCTTCCTAAGCTTCTGCTCGTAGTGTGCCTAACATAGACCGCTATGGCTACGGTAGGCCTTATCTTTAGTTTAGTTCTTGTTTCAACTTTTGGGCGGCTACCATAGGGTGGCCGCCACGACATCATATCTGTTTCATAGCTCAATATAGGCCCAGTTATGCTTGATAACACTGCCTTCATGATCTCTGATCTATTGCGTTGAATCTTGACCCAACCGTAGGCTCGTGAGCCAACAGTAGTCCTCCGATAATGCCGATGGTCAATCTAATCCAAGTTCAATTATTGGTATTGAAACAAGGTCCCGCTTGTAACGTTCAGCTACTAAGAAGTGTAATTCCTCTTGTTCACCTCTAGCACTCAAGGAATCTGACGGTAAGCCAACTCCTAAGCCCTATGGTAGACTCTAAGCTAAACTTAGTACCTGTAAAGGTCCTTATTGAGTCTTCAAGTGCTTGGTGGCCCATCGGCTTTCAGCCGTCATAGGTGTAGAATACCATTCCGAGGAGAATGTACTCTCTCTGTTCTAGTCTCCCTTTGACCTTTGAATAGGTTCGAAAATGAAAGAAAACTGGTGGTTTTCATGTGTGTTTTGTTGTACACCCTATGTTATATCCGAGTCATCCAGGAGATGGTACAGAGGGATATAGGGCCAGTCAAACTAACAACAGATACGAAGCGGAGCGGCGGGCCGGACAGAACGGAACCGGAGTCCGGAGTCGGAGCTGGTGAAAGGCGGACTGGATCACCTGTCAGTCCCAACTAACAGTGGACATTAGCATAACATTGTACCCCCTAATGTTAAGGAAACTGCCTAAAATTTGGCTGGGGTACCCCGTTCTAGCCACTCCACGTGTTTTTTAGGGTACAAAAGGGGTACTTTTTACCCTTTTGAGCGCATTTCGCGCGGAGGTGGGGTACTGGGCGGTGTATGGGGTACACCATGAGGGTAAAGGGGACAAAGAGATAGGTAGGCACAGTTTGGGGGTACACGGCGCATTTTGAGTAGACAAATGGGTGATACAGGCAGCGTATGGGGTACAGGGTAGACAAATGGGGTGATATTCGAGGTGGATAGGGTACACCGGGGTGTTAAGGTAGACAAAATAGGTGATACGGGCAGTGTATGGGGTACAGGGTAGACAAATGGGGTGATATTCGAGGTGGATAGGGTACACCGGGGTGTTAAGGTAGACAAAATTGGTGATACGGGCAGTGTATGGGGTACAGGGTAGACAAATGGGGTGATATTCGAGGTGGATAGGGTACACCGGGGTGTTAGGGTAGACAAAATAGGTGATACGGGCAGTGTGTGGGGTACACCAGAGGATTAGGGTAGACAAATCGTCATCTGGGGGGTACATTGCACACTTCTTATTCCAAAAAGGAAATTACCAACATCAGTCGCTCTTAGGCTTATAATTCCACCGTTTTGGGTGATCTAACCCTGTATGCAAGTTCTTATAGGTTCTTTAAAGTCAACTGGAGCATAACAAATGATAGGGTAAAAATAGGGAATATTACTGACTTGTGTTCTGACCATATCACATACCTGGATGCCTCCTCTTGTCCCCTTGGGCTACTAGGCCACACTCCAGGTAGCATGCAAGATTATGATGATGAAAAACATTGCAATTTGGCCATGCAGAGGGATTTCACTTTAGGTGCACTCCCCTGTGATGTGACATATCCCAAAACAATATTTTGGAGATTGTATCGGGTAACTAATAGTAGAAAATTGACACTCAGGACACCCCATACCTTGTGATGTAATGTAAGCTTATGTTATACTCTTGTTCACCATATTCAGAATGCCACAGGGTCATAGATGGTGGTCTGAAGGCTCTTATTGGGGCCCTTGGTGAAGAGTCTTGAACTGAAAAGTTGGCCAATATGTCAGGAAGAGGTAACACTTCTTGATGTGGTGTATAAGGTACAGGGTACAGTTGTGCATGGCATACAGGGTACATTGGCACTTGTTCGGGGTACAGGGTACTGGTGTGTGTGGTGTATAGGGT